CAAGAAAACAAAGATTATCATCATTGGGCCAATTGGCAGAATCAGGATAGATTGTGAAGAGACTGAGATTGATAACAGCTTTAGTTTGCTTGACTCCATATTAACACTCTTGGCACCAGCAGCCAGGAAATTAGCTGTTAGAGATCTCTCCAAGGTACTAAAGAGCTATGATGTCACTCTGGAGACTAAGATGCACCTGATACAGGTCTTTGCAGTCATTTGTTACGCATTACAAAGCTGGACAATGACTAGGGATGATAGAAGGAGAATTAATGCCTTTGAGCTGTGGTCTTGGAAAAGAGTATTGAGTATACCATGGACTGCTATGAGAACAAACAGGTTCATCCTGGAGTGGGCTAAACCAAGTATATAACTATATCGAGATATAGATATTTGTATAATTTTTAAGTGTAGCTATCCTTGGTCAAATTTGATGTTTTGAATTAAACAATCATATATGCTGGCTTCTATGCATGGAAAAAATTAAAAGGGACATTATCATATTTTCTATCAGAAAGAGAAAACATTTCTCTATCTTCCCTGAAATATAATAGTGTCAGTATCAGGATAATATCCATGGACCTACCAGGAAGCTTGGTTAATACAATTACTACTCAAATTTACACATAAACCACAAATAGTAAAGTTGAAGAAATAAAAGATTTTTACCAATTTCTAGAATCTGAAATTGATCTGATAGGGAGTTAATATGCATTGTAATTATTTATAAATGGAATGTGAAAATCAGAAACAAAGAAGCAGCAGCAGATTCCACAATAGGAGACTTGGTAAGACCAAGAACTAACTGGTTTTCTTAAAAGAAGAACATATTGATTAGAAATACCTTTTTTTTTCCAAAAACACAAGCAGTGACAACTATATGCATGGACACCACCAGGTGGACTACACAAGAGTCAAATCAACTATATTCAAGGAAATATTAACATTAAAAAAGAAGAAAAAGATATAAACATAAAATTCCAAAGGGCAGTTTAAGAAGAAAAACCACAATTTTATAATAAAATGGGCAGAGATTTGGTATTAGAAACACAAGAAAGAAAAACAGACTCATTACTTCTTAAGCTAAAAGAACTGAAGAAAAACATCAAGCTTCAAGTTGCAATACTGAAGAATTCTA